AAACATCTAAAGTATTACCGCACGCGATGCCTCGCGATCAGTCGCGCGCGTCGTGTCGCATGAGTAGGCTTTCCCTCTTACCTGTTGGGTTTAGTATAATCACAATAGCCATGAAGAATAAGTTTACCTTTACTTTCTTTTAAATGCATTAACCAGTAATCTTTATAACACTTAATTTTAAAGTTTGAATTATCTTGTAGACTCTAGTATGTATTTGAACACAAATCACAATAAACTTTAAATATTTTCAAACAAATAGACACCTACAGAAAGGTGTATTATAAACGCTAACATAAACATAATCTCAAAAATTCACATTGTCGTATTTGAAACCGAAAATAACACTATAGAAAAGAAGAAAATTATTTTCTTTTCAGAAGTACCTTTATAGAAAATTTTGTTTCAATATTCGATAAATAATAGTGAGTAAACATGTTTTATTATTATTTTATAATTTTAAAAATCTATATAAAAACTTTATTGCTCATTTGATATTATATGTATAAAAATTTGTAATGACAATTATAATGATAACTTTGACGTGCATGTCACAGGTCATAGGATGATATTTTTTTACTTTTCAATACATGTGTCTTTTGCTATTTTTCAATACGTGTGTGATATATATTTCAGTACGCGTGTGATATAAGCTACTTTCCTAAGAACAAATAAGTGTGCAAACTATCATTTTCGTATGTGGTCGTAGGAAAAATTAATTACATTTTCTCCAAACTTTTAGTTTAGTTGAGTTAAATATGTGTTAAATTTAGTCATTTTTTTATAATTTAAACAAAAATAATCCCCTATTTTTACTCCAAACCTGATATTATTTTACCGAGAACGAAAATTTTAGATGATTTAATTCATATTCTCTCCATTTATACTAGATTTACACAAGCTAGATTATACTTATTTACTACCTTAACCAATTTAGATATTCTCTTTCCGACAAATAAATTACCTACTAACCCCTCACATCTCCAAATATATTAACGATGCCCTTATAAGCTTTCTAAGGGAATGAAAATGATAAAAATACAGAGTTTATAATAATTATTGAGAATCTGTACAAAATGGTAAATCCAATACCATTTCTTATCCATTCTTACACTCACAAATACACGAAAGTTCTGAAAAAGACGTTGATAAAAAAACCCATAATTTTTCTTAACATTATTATTATCAATTTTTTTATATAACAAATTTTAATTGTAAAATATCAACGGGTCCCTAAAAAAATCATTACACAATATATCATTTAATTTAAATGATTGTAATATATTTAGTAAGAGACACTGATGTCAAGGTAAATTTTTAATGACTCACGCAGGTATCATAGGGATAGATAGGCCAAGTACTGTCACTGTATATCATAGAAGGGCTTCATAGTAATCCAGTAGAAAATGTAAAATTAGACAATATTTGAAGGGTTTCTTTGCAACGGAAGGAGAGGTATTTACTGGGGTATGTGCTTATATATAATTCATGGTTTAAACACAGTTAATGCCTTTTATTAAGAATTAAGGATTTTTAAGGGCTGCTAATTGTTGTTTTATCCTTTTTTGTATGTTATAAGATAGATTACCAAATAATATCTGTTACCATATTTGGTAACCGTCAAATACTATAATAAAGCAATATTAATTACTATTGAATAGGAACTAATTATGGCTAAATGAATAAAAAATAAAGTTTACTTATGATTTATTTTTTAGGTATATGAAAAGTCGTGTAAATATTAATATTTATCAAGTCAGATAGGGGTGGGATTGTAGATCACCTCTTTGGTAATTGTTTGCAAATTGTTTATGTTTGTCCACTATTCTCGTATGCATAAACATTGTTAAATTTGTTAACTATTTAATAAATAGAATAATAAAATCTGTTTTCCAAACTAAAAAATACAGTGTGTTTAAAAAAGTTATAATTACTTTTCTTCAAATATATCATGTGTCCCAATGAGAAAAAGTAAAAACCCCAAAAAAATCGCTTTATATTATTTTTGGGACTCTAAGACGATTTTTATTCATAATTTGACTAATGAATGTGTATTAATATACTGAATTTAAATCATGAAAAATGGTATGTTTATGTTCGAATGTTTCTATACAGTTTTTATTTTAATACCAGTAAGAACTTCAAAAACTAAGTACGTTTTCCAAATACCATTTTTAGAATTTTTAAAAAATATAGGACATATGGTGACTTAAAAATATTTTTAAGTGATCATATGAAACATGTTATTTAATGTATTACTTTTTGAGTTTTTACTCGTGTTAAAAGGATAATCCAACCTAAAGGCATATACATCAACTCAAAGATAATATTTCTAGCTTGTACTAATTATTCTTCATTCTTCTTGTGTGAGGGATATATTTTTTCTACACCCACATGGATATTAGCTTATCTACGTACACACTACAAAACGAAAAAGTATTGCGTTCATCTAAACGAATATATTTCATATCCATTCTACCTACTAAGAACACACCAAAAAAATTAAATTTACCATTCACAGTTCATATTTTGGTCATCCGGCAAAAAACATCAAAATAAAACAATATGGGAAACTGCTAATAAAATTCTCAATAAAAATAAGGAAAAAATAGATATAGAGGAAATTATCAAAAATGGTAATACAAAAAATTATAAATAAAAATGATATAGCTAATTATTTTAACGACTATAGAAGAAGAAATGGCACGTAAAAAATAAATAAAGCTAATACTCTTATTATAAAACGAAATATAACTGAACATAACATATTTTTCCACCCTACTGACTCAAATGAAATAGAAGCCATTATAAACGGACTCAAAATGAAAAAATCACCAGCCGATGACAATATCACTGCTAAAAATCTTAAATTAATAGTAAACTACATTAAGCATCCACTTTGCTACATTGTAAATAAAAGGTTTGAAAAAGGCTATTTCCCGGATATATTAAAAATCAGAATTGCTTAACAGTTAAAAAAGGCGATCCAAAGTATTCAGAAAATTACAGACCCATATATCTTGTCTCAAATATCACGAAAGTTGTTAAAAAATAATTAAAAAAAGAATAGTAAATTACTTAGAAAAACACATGTGGCTATCGGAGAATCAATTCGGTTTTAGACAAGAGATATCGACAGATGAAGCAATATTGTATCTGACTAATAACGTTTACAAAGCTACAATATGTATATTTCTCGGCCTAGCAAAGACCTTCGACACAGGGAGCCATAATAAGTTGATAGGTGTGCTCGAGGACCTTGGTATTAGAGGGGTTGCATAAGATCAAATAAAAAATTACGTTAATAAAAGAATACAATATGCAAAAATCAGTGACTCACGAAGCACCTCAAAGGTAATTAAATTTGGAGTTCCGCAAGGTACTGTATTGGGACCTATACTTTTTACAGTATATATAAACGGTCCATTACAAATAAACTCAATTGGAAGCATTTCCTCTTTCGCTGATGATACAGTTATACAGTATACAATACAGTTAATACCTGGAAAGAACTGAGAGTTAATTTAGAAAATGATATAAAAAAAATTAAACTTTGGTTCGATGAAATGTCCCTAACAATTAATATAGATGAAACAAAATATATAGCTTTCTCCTGTCGAAATAATAACAGACCCCAATATAGTTATTTACATATAGGACCAAATCTTCAAATAGCAGAGGTAAAACCAATTAAATATTTGGGCATTGAAACTGATTATAACTTAAACTGGAAAATTCATGTCAAACAACTATTAAAAAAATTACGATATATTATATTTAAATTTAAAAAATTAGCAGGCATTCTCAACTATAAAAATCTCAAAACGATTTACTATTCCTTAGTTGAATCGCTTATTCAATATGGAATAATGGCATGAGGAGAAATATATAAAACTAACTTAAAAAAGCTAGTAATTATTTAAAAAATCTTTCTTAAAATAATGAGTACAACAAAAAAATAAAAACTCCTTACAAATGATAAAACATTCATATAATACACGATATTAAAACAAAGCCTCTATAGCGACAATAGAAGCGTATAAAAAACCAGGACACCGGTCTTTTAGTTATATATCACCTCGACTATACATGTTATTAAGAAAACACACCTTTTTAAAAATAAAGTCAAGAAATTTATGAGTACACTGCCCAAATCATAAATTATAAAAATAATTAAAAATTAAAAAATATATATAAAAAAAATATTAAATTACCTTATTTTATGTCTTACTCGCCTTCTTAAATAGCACTGGGATATTTATAAAAAAAAATTGAAAAAAATTGAAAGGCTATGTAAAAAAAGATATTAAATACCATGTTAAAAATATGTTAAAATTAAAAAAAATAAAACAAATATATAAAAAAAAATTGTTAAAAAATTGTTTAAAAAAATGTTAAAAAGAAAACTACCTACTCACTAATCAAACAGGGATTACGTATATTATCTTTCATATATACTTTTTCTGTTTTCTCTGTTATTTTAATTTATCTATCTAGAATTTTTTTTGTTTTGAATTAGGACTTAAGAATAAAGTATTAAAAATGTTAAAAATAGTTCCTTAAAGTAAACGCAAAACTCACGCACAAATCTCTCCTTGAGATTTCAGTGGGTACTCAGTTTATTTTCCGCAACTATTTAAATTTATTATCGTAAATCTGTACTTATATTTATATTTTTTTGTGGAAAATAAATTATTATTATTTCCCTTGATAGCGCTTCTCCATTAAGGAAATGTCCTAAAGGAACCTCCCGCATTGTTCGTCACTCACAGAACCCAAATTTGCTGAAAATAAATCCAGATAAGAGTCCAGCATATATATTTTTAAGGACCTATTACACCCCAAAGCTTTATGACATTAAAAGTTCATTTATTAAGTATTTGTAATTTTCCGATTTTTACGTTCACAAAACATTTCCAGGCGAGATTTTCCTCATCATTCGGTTTTTCTTTAAAGCTCTTATCCTTTATCAGCTGCCGTATTTGTGGACCTACAAATATTCCCTCTTTAATTTTTGCCTTGCTGAGTTTGGGGAATTTCTCTTTTAGATATACAAATCCACTGCCATCTTTAGGCATAGCTTTTACAAAGTTTTTTATCAGGCCCAGCTTTATGTGAATCGGTGGTGAAAGAATGGCATCAGGGTTCACTAAAGGATCATTTTTAACATTTTTATGGCCTGGAGTGAGTGATTTACGCTTGGGCCAAACTTTCTTTGTATAGCAATTTTTTCTGTCCCTACTGTCCCATTCGTAAATGAAACAGCAAAATTTTGTGTAACCAAGCTGTAGTCCAAGCAAAAGTGCAATGACTACAAATTTTTCCAAACCTGTAAGTCTCTTTCATATCAGAACCATGAGCAACCGGCACTGAAGGAAGTTTATTTCCGTTATGCAGCAACACTGCTTTCAAGCTAGTTTTTGACGAGTCAATGAACAATCGCCAGTGATTTGGATCGTATTTAAAATTTAATAAATTCGTCAAAACAGAAACGTTATTACAATAGACTAAATCTAGCTGCTTTGGAAAAGTAAAGTTTTATTTCATCGTCACAGTGTTAAAAATAAGAAATTTTTGATTCAGGAGAAAATAAATTCCAGTCTTTTAATCTAGACCCCAAAAGCTCAGCCTATTTTTTAGACAGACTTAAATCACGTACTAAATCGTTTAAATCACTTTGTGTCAATAAGTGTGGTATTTTTTTGAGTTGACGGTTCATAACTTGGGTCGCTATCTTTAGATACTTTATTCTGCTTGGTTGTAATGCCTTTTGTTTGAGTCAAACAAAAATAACAATCACTTACATGATCCTTTGGTTTGGTCCAAATGATTGGTATAACAACTGACATATATCTGGGTTCTTGTTTAGTCCAACCAAATAGCAGTCTCACACACGTTACACAACATTTATGTGAAACCCAGGATTTATCTTGATTCCTCATAGGAAATCCAAAATAGTCTAAATAGCACTGTTCAATTAATGATGTTAAAGTTTATTTTCCATACACAACAAAAACTGTCGGAGTTGTTAGAACACTTTCGTGGCATGTTTTTGATGTAACAAACGTATTTAAGATGTAAGTTAGTTGAATGCAATAGTTATACAGTCGTCTAAATGAAGTTATTCAAAAAAAGACACATATATAAGGTCAGAAATTAATAAATAAAAAACTGGACGTGATTAAAACAAAATTATATATTGTTAATGAGGGTACACCAACATGAACAAAAATCATCACAAAGTTCGTGTGACAAAAACAGTGTTTACCAGTGTAATTTTAAACCTATACAAAATTCTCCTAAAAGAGTCTGTATAAAAGTGGTTTGTGATATCATTCTCTATAATTCTTGTTCCATATATACTTTCTCCAGAAAGGACCGCATTAAAGATATTTGAGACAAAGTGTAAATTTCGAATTTCGAAGAAAAGTCATAAACGAATAAATAGAAAAACACAAAATTTTTAATTAGGTTTTAATCCATCCTATGTTAAAATGATTGGACATAGTCGGAAAATCTAAGGATAATTTATAGTCGTTTTTCTACTTTATGGAATATATCTGTATTTACGCTTGAAGAAAATTCTATAACAAAAGTTGCTTGAAAAGTTATTCTCTATAATTTGTGTCATATACATAATTTTTTTAAATAAATTATTACGACGAATTGAGAACCTCCTCTGCAAGAACCATCTACTGTCTACCAATCCTAAGAAGACAGAAATGGTCCTTTTCACAAGGAAAAGGATGAAAATGGAATTAAAACCTCCAGAACTCCTAAACGCAAAACTAAACTTTGCAACAGATGTGAAATACCTAGGTCTCACATTTGACAGCAAGTTACCATGGAACTCGCATTTAGAAAACTGAGTTAAAAGAACATACATTGCTTATGAACAATGGTGCCGAACCGTGGGGCGCACCTGGGGTTTCTTCCCCAGAGTCGTCGCATGGACTTACACGGCTATCATAAGACCTATGCTAACATACAGTGTACTTGTCTGGGTACCGAAAACTCAAAAATTAATAGCTATCCGTAAACTAGTACAAATTCAGAGAACAACATGTCTCAACATAACAGGAGCCATAAAAACAACACCGACCAGAGCGATGGAAGTCATTCTTAGTCTCACCCCCTTGATATTTACAATGACACGCCTTCGCACGGTTGAAATAGAACCTGATGTAGGATCTGGTGAGGCGAGACGTCAATTTTGGCAGGAGGCGCTTGATACACTCTCGCTGCTTCAAGCGAACATGAACTGCATCTCACCGAGAAAGATATATAAGCCATATAAAGTTATAATAGAATAACTAGAAGAGCCAGAAGTGGCAGATACGATTCATATCTACACCGACGGTTCTAAAACAAAACAAGGCTCATAGCAGCAAAAAAATAACCAGAAATAATATTACTGGAAGGAACATACTCATCTTTACAGATAGCAAACAAGCACTAGTCACCTTGAACAGACCACGAATTTATTCAGGGTTAGTACTAGAATGTCACGAAGCTTTGGCCGAAGTATCTATCAACAATGTGGTCACGCCTCACTAGCCAAGAAAGCAGCCAACCAAATATTTTTTGGACCTGGTCCTTCTATTGGCCTGACAAAATCGGTAGTGACAGACCTAATTAAAGAACATTCCCTTTTGAAATTCAAGGAATGATGGGATGAAACAAGAAACTGCAAAGTTGCCAGGGAGCTCTTAAGTTATCCTGACAACACTGCAGCAAACAAATACTTGACTATGACTAGATAGAATCTGCGCCTAGTCACAAGCATTCTAACTGGTCATTGCCAAGGAAAGCATCTCCATATCATGGGGCTGTCAGAGTCGCACTCTGCAAAGCATATCCTTTACGATTGCTCGACGCTCTCATTTATTAGGTTTGTATTTGGCGAGTATCCGCTAACACCGGTCGATATAAGAGAAGCACCTCTTGGCGACGTTGTCAACTACATTAAATCTGTAGGCTGACTCACGAGCTAGGAGGTGCCTACCATCTTTGGAGGATGCACAATGGGCCTAATGAGGCCTAAATGCCGTGGAATTAACCCACCCTCCACACGTTACAGATACAGAGAGAACGTCCTCCTTTTTAAAATCGGTTAAAAATGGTCTATATTCGAGAAATTTGATAAAAAGTGTAAAATTGTAATTTTTAGGAAAATTGTTAAACTAAAAGCTGTTTGTGATATTGATCTCTATAAGTTTTGTTTCATAAATGATTTCTCTAAAATGGACCGTAATGGAAAAATTTTAAGAAACGTAAAATTTTAATTTTTCAGTATTTTCGTTGGTAATGAATATATGTATATAAAAAAATTTTTTGACTAGGATGTATGTGGCAAATGTTAATATTTAGTTCATCATATAAACATTTACAGGGGTAATACAGAACAACCGAGAAAAGCCTGCAATAACTAGACAGGAAAGTCATGTTTTGAACACATCATATTTTTTAAATTATATAAAAAATTACTTGTCAGTATATTTTTTTAGTTATTGAGATTAAATATACGTAAATATGAGTATTTCTTATGTATAATTGATAAATAATAGCATTTCTGTTTTAATTTCATCCAAACTTACAAAAAAATCATAAAATTTAATCAAATTATACGAAACTAATTTAATTACCAGTATTAAAACTAAAATGTTAAGTGTGTCGATGTTATGCGAGAGGCCGGGTTGAAATCTGGGCTGCGTACTAATTAAATTAATTTTTTTTATGTTTATTTTATTTTATAATTTGGTAAAAATCATAAATTATTTTAAAATTAGTTATTTTGTATTAATAACATAAAATGTGTGTCGTAGAAAAAATATACTGTACAATACAACATATCCACTTTTGTTGCACAAACTACCATTATGCGATGCGATATAAGTACTGTATTTTTTATTACGATGTTTCTATACATATTTTTTTGTATGTATTTTTAAAAATTCTTTAAGTTTCTTATTGATACATGAGTGTGTATTCACCCTAGCCCCTAAAATTGTCATAAATTGATATCATTCTGTGAAGGTCTCAGCGGCTTGAATAGTAGGAAGCATCCAAATTATATATAAACATATTTATTAATAATCTATAAAAATAATATAATATGTACCCCAATTTACAATGCAAAGGCAGAAAAATAACGATAAAATATTTATGAATATAAGCGTCCTCTGGTATAAACCTAATTAGTAAAAGTGACAGACACCGGTGACCGCCGTGGCTTATTGGACGTAACCATAATTAACTAGATACTAATATCCCCTCGTATAAATAAATATAATCCAAGTATATTAAACATCTTCCAAGCGACTAAAGTTTCTTGATTTCTTCAATGATATAACCCTCCGTTACGTCAACCCTATATATGCAACTATTCCCAACTAACTGTCCTTAAATTATATATCTAAACTAGAAGATACAAAATACAAATCAATAAATAGAAGGGAATTATTAAAATATATTCATCGGTAATTTAAAAGAAAATACCTGGAGGGGATAACACTTTATATAGGGGATGAAGCCTGTTAAAAAGTTTAGTTAGATAAAGATCAGAGTGTAATCTAAACGGTGAAGTGCCACTTGCATGTGAATACCCATTTACTGCCCCCTTTTTACAATGAACGGTAAGTTTTTTATTTAAAGAAAATGTAGCTTGTCATTAGAAGACAATAACTGAAAGAGAATTTTTTATTGTAGCATGATGGTATGTTTGAAGTTTTGTATTTATTTGAAAGATTTATTCGAAGAATAAATCAATTATTTAAATGGTTTGCTTGGTAGATATACACAATTTTTTTAAAAATTTATCATAATCTATATTTCTCCACAAATAATTGAATGAAAATAATAAATAATTTATAGTTTCATGAGTGCATTAAAAGAACTATTCTGACCGGAAAAAAAACTATTAAGATTCTATTTATTTGCTTAAAATTTGTACAAATTTACTACGATCTAAGAATTTAAAAATATAATACAAACTAAATTATTATTTAATTAGATTTCGATTGTCTTTATAAAGGTTCTATTGCATAGGGAACATTTTTCTATTATGAATTTTATCAAATAAAATTGTTTATAAAAGTTTTTCATAGTTTTAAATCTATAATGAAATAAGATATCAAAATTTATCAATCACATACGAGATTTATCTTCTAGTAAGTTTAAATGCAAGCGATAATAAATTCGAAAGAAAAAATAAAAAAAAACAATTTAATAATACAAAATATTTAGCAATTGTAAAAACGTAAGAGCTTTTCGTCGGCGAAAATTTTTTTTTGAAAATATCTATTTAGATTAAAATTACCCAGGGGAAAA